TCTTTATCAGGAGAACCCTGGCTAAATTATGGTCAGGACGGTTGGGATGCAGACGACGAAGAAATTCAAAGCCCACCCACCACCCACTTCGTAGCCACTGTCGATGATTTAACTGACATGCTCGACTTTGACTCCGAAGACATCGACGGTATGGACGACGATGCCGGAGACGACCAAGAACCAGCGCCTACAGGGCACTGGAAGGCCACCTCAAATCACGACGTATATGTGGTGGATACACCTAAAGGAAGCGATAACGCGGAACAACGGGACGCTGCGAAGGATAAACCCCTCGAAAAGCAATCAAAACGGCGACGTAAGCACCGCTCAAGGTCCCGCCCCGACAAAGACAGCACCCATACAGACCCAGCCTTAGAGCAGGGCGAACCGGTGGTCGCCAAAGTTTCTGTCCTACACCGTACAAACCAACAAGCATTGTAAACATCCTAAAGGCAAACCTTGGCACATTATTTTTATAATACAATGAAATTGTATAAAGGGATAATTATTTTTGATGAAAAGTTTCTGTAATTAAGATTCACAAAGTTTCCGTGAGCATGAACAAAGTTCAAGGCTAGCTCCCACTTCAACAATGCTTATCTTTCTCACTTTCACTTTCCTTTTTGAAAAGTTTTGGGTCCCCCTCATTATTTTTTTTCTAAACTATATAAAAGCACTCAACAGAAATAAATGACTCTCTAAAACTTTTGGGTTGTCTCCCTGGCAGCGCTTTCTTTAAAGCCATTAATCTAGGCATTTAGTGCTCAAGTAATGGATCCACCCGGATCCCAAGGTATATCAAAGCCAATTTTAATTAATAATGATTTGTAATTTAGTAGTGAGCACAAAGTAACATATATAGAGCAATGACGAAGTCTAACTCTCTTCCTATGCATAGGCATGTCATAAAAGAACAATTCATGCACGCATAGTAAAGGCCAATGCATAGTATAAGCAGTTTCTTGCAATTTTATCATATTGGAAACGTAGAGAGGTGGAGCTATAGTTCCTCTCTCATAATAATTGCAAGTAGGAGCAAAAAGCACATGCATATTACATTCATCAAAATTATCATGTGCAACGGTAAAAGGCAACCCATCAATATAATCCTTAATAAGCACAAACTTCTCCGATATAGTGTAGTTTGGAGAATTCAAAAAGATAATAGGACTATCATGCGTGGGTGCAATAGCAACAATTTCATGTTTAACATAAGGAACTATAGCAAGTTCATCTCCATAGGCATAATTCATATTGGCATCTTGTCCACAAGCATAGCAAGCATCATCAAAAATGGATATTTCAAGAGAATCAATGGGATCATAACAATCATCATAGCAATCATTCTTCGGTAAGCACGAAGTGGAACTAAACAATGTATGAGTTGAAGAGTTACTCTCATTAGAAGGTGGGCATGGGTAGCTAATCCGCTCTTCCTCCTTTTGTTCTTAGCTCTCCTCATCATCTTTTTCATCCAATGAGCTCACAGTTTCTTCAATTTCTTCTTCCATAGCTTCCTGCAAAATATTAGTTTCTTCTTGCACAACGGAGACTTTCTCAATAAGGTGGGGAAGCGCTTGCTGAACTTCTCGAGGTGATCAACCAGTGTCAAACACCTTCTCAGCCACCACCTTGTCGGCAGCTGGGGCGACCAGGTCGGCGGCGACGGCGTCCTCCGGAATGTAGTCTGTAACCTCCAGGTAGAAGAGTCGCGGGCAGGAATGGCCGGGCGTGTAGGGCTCGTCGCAGTTGAAGCACAACCCTTGGCGGCTACGCTCGGGTAGCTTGGTTGAGGTGAGCCGGCGGAACGGGCGCGCCACGGTCGCGGCGAGGGGTGCCGTGGAAGCCTGCGCAGGCCGACCCTGCTCGGAATCCGGCCCGGGTAGCGACCCAGCGGTCCGGGACGGTGATGCCTGTTGGATGGCCACCACGCGGCGCTCGAACGCGCGGGCGTAGTACATGGCCGACTGGAGATCCTGGGGTCCCCGAAGTTCCACATCCACGCGGATGTGATCCGGAAGTCCACCGACGAAGAGGTCAGCCCGCTGCTGCGCCGTCACGCCCGACGCGTGGCACGCCAGGGCCTAGAAGCGGTTGGCGAAGTCTTGAACCGTGGAGGTGAAGGGAAGGCGACCGAGCTCCGCCAAGCGGCTTCCGCGGACCGGGGGCCCAAAGCGAAGGAGGTAGAGCTTGCGGAAGCGCTCCCAAGGGGGCATGCCGCCCTCGTCCTGCTCGAGGGCGTAATACCATGTCTGTGCCGCACCACGGAGGTGGTAGGAGGCGAGCCAGGTACGCTCTGATGCGAGGGTGCGCTGCCCGCGAAAGAACTGGTCGCACTGGTTGAGCCAGTTAAGGGGGTCCTCCGTGCCGTCATAGGTGGCGAAGTCGATTATGGCGAACCGCGGCGGTGTCTGCGTCGGAGCGCCGTGTCGAACTGGCTCGGAGGAGCGGAGCAGGGCGGCCGGTGGCGCCTGGTCGAAGTACTCCGGTTGGCGACCTGCGGTACCGGATGGCCCGTCAGACTGCGGGAGCGGGGTCGGGTGTTCGGAAGCTGCGGTGTAGACTGGCGATGGGAAGACCCAGCCGCCCACGCTGGTATTGGCGATGGAGAGGGCGGGAACCAGACCTGGTTGATGGGCAGGCCAGCCGAAGCGGCGGACGATAGTCCGGCGCTGGCAGAGGTGGCGCTTGGAGCTGCAGCGGCTGTTGCGTCTGCTGTGGGTAGCGGCCAGACGCGGCGGAAACCGGTGTAGAAGTCGGCGGCCACGGCGGCCAGAGCTGGCCTGCGGCTGGGGACTGCCGGAGGTGCAGCAGCGGCGGAGGCCCGCTGGTGTAGCCCGCCTGGAACGGCAGCAGGGGCGGTCCGCTCGGGCCAGACGCGGCCTGGAGTGGCCAGTGCGTCGCCGGGTGGCTGTAGGCAGGGAGCGCAGCCGGCGGGGTGGTGTACGGGCTGGCCAGGTACAGGGATATGCCCTGGACGGCCGTCACGAGGTCCCGCAGGATGCTTGTCATCTCCTCCTGCGTGAATACTGAGGTTGTCGGCGGTGGCGCGGGGAAGACGGGAGCCGGCGGCGTTGGGGCCGGCGGCACTGGGGCCCCCGCTGTGGCGCTCGGCCCCGACAGCGTCGGAGCTCTGTTGGTGGTCATCAGGGGGGGGGGCGGACAGCGAGGCGGTGGTGCCAGAGGGCAGCGGCGGCGTGGGTGATGAAGAAGACATGGTCGAACCCGAGTCTCTGGATACCAAATTGGTAGAACCAGGGGTCCTACCGGACCTGCTCCGGAGGTTGTAGGGGAAGGATGGAGCGGGGCGTGGCGATGAGCGGGCGCGCCGGTGGCTGGGCGCCATCGCGTCGGAGGAAGATGGCGGCGGCGGCTAGGGTTAGAGGCGGCTAGGGTTCCGGCTCCTCTGGGAGCCGGGCAATAGGAATAATAATATTCTTATTACTTAATCTCAAAAAGAGTCTTACAACATATATTTATAACCTAGATAACTTGCATACGAATTAACCTAAGATAACTTGTGGGCTAAGATTTTCCGGTGGGCCTTTTACAGCCGTAGGCTAAACCGGTCATAACAACGGTCCAGTAATATGATAGGTGTTTAGTCATCTCGCTCTATTGTCGCCGGTTGTGGCATATTATATTTCTTTATTTCAGCTCTGTGCGAGCATGTAGTGAATAAGAGACTATTCGGTTATTTTGCTTAATAAAGGGGCTACATGCATCGCTCTGATACAGATGCCGGGGGTAATCCTCCTTTTTTTTTGGAAAAAGAAGTCATGGCTGTGTTTTCCATATCTACCACATACATTCCGTATCACACTCAGAGTAAGGATCATCATTGACTAGATTATTTCCAAGGAGAGTCAGGTCAATCATATGCAAGGTGTGTATGTGACCGCTAGCTGGCTCGACTTGGTCTTTCAGCTCATCTAATGTAGCTTGTAAACGGAGTAGCATGCATGAGCTAGCACTCAGGACATGTGGCTTTATAGTTCTAATTGAATCCTTGTCGGCATTCTCACATACTTTGCATAGCTGTTTCATGCTTAAGTAACTGAATGCCAACAAGCGCCCGGCCGGTAATATATATCCCATAAGCCCCGAGCGTGTCATCAACTGCCAACATTTATCTTCTTGTGCCAGCCTATGTAACCAAATTGATCATCTAACCGCTAGGTAACCAACATGAGTTGTCCAAGCTGATCAACGCGGGGGCTTGATTTGACTTTTGACTTGAGTATGTGTTTGTCCACTACGTGTGGTACGCAAGTAGTATTTACATAGGCTGCTCTAGGCTCTAGCCCTGTGCAACTTGAAGCCTATACGTGACCAAATACGACGTGTTGAAGGAGTCGCGGCACGTTAAACGGCAAGTAGTACACAATACGATACTAATGATGCGATAGTGGATGACCACTCTATCATATATATAACTACTTCTGTACGTCATTAAAATGACTCATTTGTTAGCAAGTTGCAGGGATACTAATTATCCTGAGCTGTTTCCTCATATATAGTTGGTCTTAAGGATAACTAAAAGGACTCTATTGGTATACACCCGTAGTATAAAAATACTCTCCTTGATGGATTCAAATCGATTATAGAGGCAAGGTCAGCGGTCATCTTATTTCTGGATTTGCTGTTGTGTGATCAATAAACATACGATCATTAACTAATTTGGAAGTACTGTTCATTATTGGATTAGCTTCTGATTCAACAGTTTTCCTTCTTCCATGTATATATAGATGTACCTAGCTTTCCCTGATCTGCACAAGTAAAGCCAAGCTACTTAGCCATCTAGCATCCTCACGTTCTTCGTAAGGTGGTCATCTCAGCTCAAGGACAGTATAGATCTACATAGGTACGTTTAATTTTTTTTCCTTCTTGTTATTTTGTTCTTTAATGAATGCTTGCATGCTTAACTACTGCAGTTTGATTTCTTGAAATTAAATTATATATATTTCAAAGGTTTGTGCCATTATTAGGAAACTGAATAAATGGCAGCGTCATCATCCCCGGTCTCTGCACGCCGTACCCAGGTTTGTGTAACATAAGTTATGTTGCATCATTCTACCGTACTTCCAAGTTAATAAGGCATACGCCTGTTGTATTTTCTCAACCTACAACGCAAGAGTATAGTACAACCGTACAAGTTATCTCTAGTGCAACCCCAACTTTGAGGATGCTCAGTATGAATCTTGCTAGAGTAAGAATGGAACCACAAATTCACATGGAAAATTAAACTTCCCATTGAAGTTATATCTGTAGTGCACCCACAAAAAAAGATGTTATACCTATAGTTTAACGCAAAAAAAGTTATATCTTTACTAATTGTAACTGAGATATTGCCGTTGCTGGACACACGAGGCAGCCTAGTCATAGGGAAAAAAAAGGAAGATCATTAAATGAAGAACAAATTCAGTACATGACCCAAATCTGGAATTCGTCAGTAGTCGGAAATATCTTGGGAAGCATGGATTTATAGTGAAAATGCAAATCCAAAAGTTTTATATTCTTAAGATGAAACTGTTTCTTTTATATTTCTCATACCTTTAGTAACTTTTTTGGATCACTCGTATTTTTTAAATTTCCTGTTATGTTTTCTCGCAAATGCAGAATTTACAACGCTTTCCAGTTTATATTTTGCCCGCTACATTTTTAGCGTTTTCCAAAGTTTCTCATTATTCCTCACCAAACTTTAATTCTATTTTCCAAAAAAATCATTGACTGAGCTATCACGTGTCAGCAAAAGTTTAGTCATGTCACCACAAAAACCTTTTCGATAGGGCAAATGAGTGAGTGTAAATAGTTTGACTCAAAATATTGGTTATATATTTAGGATATGTTGAGTGATAGAAACACATATTTTCCCTTTTTTCTAACAAGCATGAACTGATCATCATGTAAAATATCATAAGACATACAGATATATAAGATGCATGCAATGCAGGATGTTATAGGGGTGCACATGACCTTCAACCTCAAGCATGGTGATTACGCTCAATTCATCCGCGACTTTTGTGGTGTGCTAGTTAAGCATGAGACTCCCGAAATGGTCGCCGGGCATCTTGTGCTCGCCAAGCAAAATCATCCTGCAGCGCCAAAGAGGTGGATGTACATCAAACTGAAGGGCAAAAAAAATGAGTCCGTCACCCTTGCCATTCGGGATGACAATCTGTACCTTATTGGCTTCCAGGGTAAAAATGAAAGGTGGTATGAGTTTGGAATATCAACAGACGTAACTGCGTCGATATTGAATACAAACACTCCCACCACCTTTTTAGGGTGCGATGTTACGTATAAGGAGTTGCTAGAAGTTCACCAGCGCCAACAAGTCAGGACAGAAATGGGGACACTAGAACTTGGCAGGAGATCTGCGATAGAAGCAGTACGTGTTCTGTCAAGGTACGAGCAAGTGGATAATGTGGCGGTTGACAGAGTCACCAGGCGGGCATTGGTGCGCCTAATTCACATGTTCTGTGAGGCCACGAGGATGATTCCATTCTTCAACACCGTGGTGGATAGTTGGGACAACACCACAGGCGGTCATCGTATCAGAGAGGATCAGGTAATATACCTCTGGCACTGGGGGAGAATGTTGGCCGCGCTGCGGGAGTGGAAAGAAAAAAATTATGGAAGTTGGGGGGAAGCTGCATTTACTGCACAGCTGGCGAAGCAAACCAATGTCAAATCCGCAGGAGAGGCACTTGACGTAGTTCAACTGCTTCTCAGAAAAGCTGGACAAAACAACAGATCGCCACACACCAAGGTCCAAGAAACAGAAGACAATAATGGCGGCAACGATCAGACTGGCGGCAAGGAGCAGGCTGGCGATGGCGAAAATATGAATAGCAGCCACGAGCAGGCTGGGGACAGCCACGAGCAGACTGGTGACGGCCACAGGCAGACTGGCGATAGCAACAACGAGAAGCACAAGTCGGCAGCTGGCTACGATGACAACATCAACCAGCTACATCCAGCGTCAACCGGCTTTGGCAGGCCCCTTGTGCAGGTGTTTGGCGTGCGAGCCGACTTCCATGTAGTTGGCAGCATAGCCGTCTTCGACGGCAAACGCGGCCAGATCATCTACAAGTGCCCAGCTCCCATCGCCGACTATCCATCCACATCTGAGGTACAAGTTAAAATGGATAATATTTTGAATAGATCACGCACACGGAGGGGCCATGAGAATGCTGGTTTTTTTTTTACCTTAGATCATCTGAGATATCAGTAGAAATGAAGCCTGAACTGGAGCTTCATTCAATATGTTTTGCTATATGTGATTTTCTCAACTCTTTTCAGCAAAACCCCAACTTCTAGTACATCTGTAAGTAGTCACTAGTCAGTACTGATGTATATATTGCTATTTCACAGAATACGATCGATTTGCCACTCACTGGACCATATAGAGCCATCTCAGCTGACGGGAGCTTTGTAATTCAAGTCCAAGGCTCTGAACGGTCTAAGAATGTTGGGGGTGACATGTTGTGGGATTGTTACTCCGACCAAGCTGTGTATGACAAAGTCTTGACCCACAATATCGGCTCCATCGCGGATGTAACATATGCAGTGCTGAGCAACGCCGTGGAGACCTCCGTGCAGGTCCAGCTGAAGCTGAATGGTGACAAAGCTGGTGCCACCGCCCGCGTGCACGGTGAAATCACGGCGAAGTACCAGCACTACAACGACCACAGCATAGTGCTCTTCAGCTGTACAAAAGAGAAGGAAATGGAACTGGAGATCTCCATGTACGATGGCATCATTAGTATTCCAATTCCACTTCAGCGGTCGGTCATTGCGGTGCCTGTCAGCTCATCGCTTCAGATAAAGGTGAAGATCCATGTCACATGTCTACCCAAGCATGAGGGCGTCGTCTCCTTCGACGACGACCTCATCTTCCCCCACACAGATCAGCAAACGGGAAAACTTCTGGGGGGAGATGTGGCGGTTCATGTGACGATCAGACCACCCACTTCGGCCGACACCTGCGCCTTCCCAAAACCAAGTAATAGAGCACTGTCGCTTGCGCTGGCTACTACTCCAGTTCCAAGGTGAGTCCACCCTCCCGTATCAAATTCAGTACGTGATTCACATTTACGCATTTCACTGTTTCATACTCTTTGCGAGAGAGGATTGATCGATATGGCGAACCTAGCTTAGTCATCGTATTTACTGGGTTTCTCGATCGAGAATGGTTTTGGGTGGGGCATATTATTGTACCCACTCCATTTCATAGGTACTATAATTAGTTAAGATAAAGATTTTGACCAATGGTTAGTTGACTAGCTAGTATTTACTGCCTCCGTCTCAAAATATAACATGTTTTCGTAGGCTAAAATAGCATACCGACTTTGAGACGGAGGCAGTACTTTCTAATAAGAAACCAGTGACAATCTCCTTTTTTTTTCCAATAGGAGTGATATAACTTTTAGATGTCTTTTCCTCGTAGTGATGTTGCAACATTCTGATACTCAGCTTATATTTTTGTTCCCATAGTGTTGTTAATTCTGATACTCCACCGTGCACCATCCTATTTTCGATCTAGCTTATATATATAGAAATAAATGAGCTGGCAACAAATTACACCATGTAAAATAGTGGGGGAAATTTGACTGGAGTTGCAGGAAAAACCAGGCAACTTTTTGTGTATGTAATTAGTCCGTAATGTAATACTCCCTCCGTCCCAAATTAGTTGACTTAGATTTGTCTAGATCTAACACTAAAACCTGTCTAGGACAACTAATTCGGGATGGAGGTAATACTAGCATTCTTAATTCAATGCCACCTTATCTTTCATGACTAATGGATCCATTGCACATTGTAGGAAGGAAACTACTGCAGGAAAGAGTTTGATGCGTTGGGTTCTAAAATTTAAGAGGTTGATGCCCCCCGCTCTGAAAAGGTTTACTTTTGAAGCAATTGGTTCCAAATAGGGTGAATGTAACGAATTTGATTCCAAAAAGGAGTTTGAGGCCACGTCTGAAATCAAAGGCAGTTCTGTAGGGACAGCGAGCCAGCGGCAACTGGACCAAACAGTTTAGATGTCCATGCATGATATACCATCACCGAGCGGAACACGTGGAATGATATTACTTTTGATTATCCTTTCCTACCGATCGTTATGAGCGGTTTCTTTTTAGCTATCTTAAACCAGCTAAAAAAAATGTCCTTTCCTCTCTTCCTTTCTAACGTTTGCTCCAAGTGATTATTGCTTGTTTTCGGATTTTGATACTAGTAAGTTCCCCACAAAAAAATTATTACTGGTAAGTTCTTTGAATATTGTTCTCGTAGTATATATAGTAATATAATGTGTTTGGTTGGTTGGTCTAGGCCATTGCCATGTTAAGTAGGACCTTTTCTTGGAGATTCCATGTTAAGTAAAACTATGTTATCAATTTTGTGGAAATTTCACTACTAGTATGATTTCCTTAAGTCAACAAGAACAAAGCACGTAAGAAATCTGGAGAAAACACAATGTTTCATGCCATGCATGTCAGGGCGCATGACACTTCTCCATTTCAGTGTATAAGGCATGCAAGTGTTCTAAGTCCAACTTTAACTACCAATGTGAGAACCAATCTATGCTTGGATGGTTAGAAGGGCGGTTATACCCTCAAGTCCACTGGTGATCAAACGCCAGATACGCTTTGTGCCATGCCAGATAATCTTTCAGTGGGAGACGACGCTGTGTGTTGGTGAGCCCATCTACGCTCCATTCGGTGTTTCTTCAAAACAAATTGTGCTCGAAAAAGTATATACCAAAATCTACATTCAAATGAAGTTTCCAGTGCTATAACAATTGTGCTACTGGGGGATAGCAAACTGTCAATGGAGAGTACCAATTGTAAAATTCCTCGTGCTCTACAGACGTGAAATGGGGTAATGTGTTGCTCTTTACTTCTTTATCAACAAAACCGACAAACCATACAATAAAAAGGAATAGAAAAGGTGATAGAGGATCACCGTATAGAAGTCCTCGAGAAAGAGAGAATGAATCTAGAAATGTTTTATTGAATATGACCGAATATCTCACTGGGGTCACATACTCAAGTAATATTTTCAAGATATAGATCAACAGAAGTCAAGAAGTAGAGTTTTTACTCACCTCGAGGGCCTGAACAGGGGAAAATCATGTCACATTGTTGGTGAGATCTGTGTGCCGCACCACTTCCACGATTTTGATAACATATACCCTTTTACACATGGTTCACGAATTTCATGCATCGATATGAATAGTTCACATATTTGGCCTAATTGAAAGTAAATATAAATATCAGAATACTTACATGTATATCTTATACACCCAAATGGAGGGAGCGGTATTATATTATACAAAAAGGGATATTTGCTTTCTTGTGAGCCACGGTTGTCTAAGGAAACCGGCATGGTTTATTTCTGGTTGACTAGTTGCCTAGCTTTTATTTTTTCAGAGTAAACGCAAAAGCTTGTGTCTCGATGCATTCATAGAACAAGAATCTTATGTATTTTTTTTCTTGCCCCTTGCGTGCTGCCAAAAGTCTTTGTTCGTTCCACCGTCCCTAGACATAGCCTCAGCTTCCTGGGTGTCTTCTGGTCCAAGAAAAATCATCAAAAAGTTTCGTTCCGTTTGGAGTCTGTTTGGTATTGATTTTCTGTAGAAGGAAAAAACAAGGAAAAAACAGCAACTGCCACTTGGCACTGGTTTAAGAAGTTAGTTCCAAAAAATGATATAAAATAGTACCATAATGCATATAAAACATCCAAGATGGATAATATAATAGCATGAAACAATAAAAAATAATAGATACGTTGGAGACGTATCATATAACTATATGATGTCTTTACTAAATAGGTCGGCATGCCATAATTCACATACATGTTGTCTATGTAAACCTGATGGCATGATATAATTCATATATATGATTTATATACTGAAGAAACTAAGCAGATGGCATTGGATATTGTGTATATGATGTCTAAACTAAGGAGTGCAAGACACCATATGCATGATATGAGTAATATAACCCTGTCAAGTTAGAGCATACACCTTAGGAGGAAAATATGCTTGTCATTTGTCTCTGAATCCTCCTTTGAGGAGCTATCATAACCAGCAAGATATCAGCTTCAGCAGGTAGCATTGTCTATTTTGAAGACCTTGTTTTAACTCCAGATTTTTCCATCACCAATTCAAAAGGCTGATGCACAGAAAGATAGTTGAATATACAAACATTGTCGACAAATTGAATATGTAAGGAAAAAAGAAGGAGGGCATCATATAAATCACATATATGATTACTAGCTAAATAACATGGCTTTGCATAATTCACATATATGATGCCCCTAACTAAACAAGATGGCATTGCATAACTCACATATATGATATAGAAACTAAATATATGGGATTCACAGAAGGCATGTCTAAACTAAACGGATGACATAGCAATGCAAGACAACATACACATGATATGAAAATCAAATAAAACTGACCAATGTAGCACAAAATTTACACAAGGTTTGTGTTTTTCTTATAATATACATTAATAAAAATATAGTACAGTTTCAGAAAAAAAAGTTTCCATTTAAGAAAGTAATGAAATTATCTAAGACATAGTAAAGAAATGTATTAGTCTCATTGGACCCTTTGAGAAGACGAAAATTATTCTACGACATTGTTCATACGATAGCCGGAAAAGTATGTTCTCTCGCCGGCTATTCAAAAAAAGAAATACTTACTTATTCATAAACTTCCTTTTATCGAGCATAATAGCTTTTATACGCTTGTACAGAGGAGTATAAAACAATGTATATATATAGGTGTTTAGTATCCTAAAAAAAACATTAACATCCAAAGCACCGTAAGCTTGCTTTCTCTCCCGCTGACAGACAAAGAAAAGGTTTTTTTAGACTTTTCTATGGTAGGCCTACGCTAGTGGAATATCTTTTTTGTTTGTATTCTAGGTTAGCTTTCTCTATTCTTTGCTTAAGCTATCGTGTCGTGTAGATGGATGGCATCTCCCTATTCCCACATCCCCGGATATGATTAATGCATGGAAGTTAAGGAATTAGGTCATTCTTCAGCCCAAGATGCAAGCATTTGGACTCCATCCTAATATGGCAGTTGAACTCTTATAATAGGCTTGGCTCTGGAACATGGGCTTATCTTGGGCAAAAAACGCAAATAAAGAAGAGCTATCATAACCAGCAAGATTTCTGCTTCAGCAGGTAGCATTGTCTATTTTGAAGACCTTGTTTTAACTCTAGATTTTTCCATCACCATAAGGCTGATGCACAGAAAGATAATTGAATATACAAACATTGTCGACAAATGGAATATGTAATGAAAAAAGAAGGAGGGAATTATATAAATGACATATACGATTACTAGCTAAATAACATGGCTTTGCATAATTCACATATATGATGCCCCTAACTAAACAAGATGGCATTGCATAACTGACATATATGATATAGAAACTAAATATATGGGATTCACACAAAGCATGTCTAAACTAAACGGATGACATAACAATGCAAGGCAACATACACATGATATGAAAATCAAATAAAAAATGACCAATGTAGCACAAAATTTACACAAGGTTTGTGTTTTTTATAATATACATTAATAAAAATATAGTACAGTTTCAGAAAAAAAAGTTTCCATTTAAGAAAGTAAAGAAATTTTCTAAGACATAGTAAAGAAATGTATTAGTCTCATTGGTACTACCCTTTGAGAAGACGAAAATTATTCTAAAAAACAATGGATTTTTTTCTCAAACAATATACACAAAATTTTAGTTTTTAAAAAATATGCAAGAATAAACATATGATAGTGGAATTTTGGCAAAAAATAGTTTCCTTGAATGATTGAATTAGTGGCATTTATATCACTCTTAAAAAGAGAAGAAAATAAAGTAAAACTAAAACAAAATTTTAAATAACAAACTTTCATACGGAAAAATGAATTAGTAGCATTGGTATTTGGTATTACCTTTTAGGAATAAATAAAATGAAAGAAAAACTTGCACACAACTTTCCACTAAAACTGCCCTTTTTTAGTATGCAATGATTAATAACATAATGGTGCAATTTTCACACTATACTATTTTGTGTATATACTAAACTAAGTGGATGCCATATTATAAAATTTGTGCACAATTCGCAAAGAATGTTTTCTTATTATATGCAAGAATGAGTGTATAACAACAGAATTTCTTAAAAAGGAGGTTTCCTTAGAAGGAATGTCTTAGTTGGATTGATATTACCCTTAAATAAGAAGAAAAATGAAACAAAAACATTAATAATAAAGTTTCCTAAGAAAGTATAAATTAGCGACATAGTATTACATTTAAGAACATGGAAATAAAATAAAAATCAAACGAGGAAATTAGCACACCATTTACACAAGAATTGCGGTTTTTATTCATAATATGCAAGAATAAAATATAGTAGAGTTTTAGAAAAAGTAAGTATCCCAAGAAGGCATGAATTATTAGCATTGATGAGTTTCTTTAAATAACAAATAAAATCAAATAAAACAAAATAATGAAGTTACCTAATGAAGAACAAATTAGTGGCATTGGTATTGCTCTTAAAGAAAATCAAATGGAAATGGAATGACAAAATTTGCACACAATTACACATAAATTGTGTTTTTTATGATATGCAAGAATAAACATATAATGGTGGAATATTCAGAAAAACAATTTTCTTAAGAAGGAATGAATTGGTATTACCGTTATAGACGAAAGAAAGTGAAAAAGAAACTAGAACAAATATCGAAAGAAATGAATTAGTTGCACCAGTATTGCCCTTTAAGAAGAAGAAAAAGAAAAAAGAAATAATGAAAATTTTGCACACAATTTACACATAAATTGCGTTTTTTTATAATTCTGCCAAAAAAGAATATTATAGTGGATTTTCGGAAAAAGAATATTTCCTAAGAAGAAATGAG